GGTTTCTAGGCAACCAAACATTTTTTAACTTAAAAACTGAAAAGTTCTAGAAAGCTAAAATGAACCATATTGTTGTTGTAAGGTAGTTATTTGCTTATTATTCATAAACAGTCAAATATCGTGGGTTCGCCACTAGCAGTGTGATGAGATTTCGTGCCACGAGATCTCGCAATATTAAAACGTTGAGGTGAAAAGCTGTCTCGCAATATCAGTAGCCAACATTACAGAATCTGACAGTGAAGATGCCCCCGCCACTTTTAAATTGTTTATGTGGCAGCCTTTTGGGTACCTGGTGGAAACAATAAACAGCGACATAGTGACAGACAAGGCATGAACAATATGTAAGCACTGTAAGAAAATTGTGCCACACACCGTAGCCAACACGAGCACTATGCAAAGACACCTAAAGAACCTCCACAGCTCTCTACTAAAATCAACCGCGCCTGTGAAGAAAACACTGAAAGGCCAAACAACGCTGACAAATGCCTTTGCATCTCAACTTCCACAGTCAAGTGCTACAGCCACAGCAATAACGATAGACATTGGCATTTTCATTGCAGTTGATATGAGGCCATTTTCTGTGGTGGAAAATCTGGGATTTCAGCGACTCCACCATCCCATCACACGCACATTTTGCTTGCACGGTAGTTCCGAACCTCTACAGACCCTGAAATGTTCGATTTGTGGAAAGGCGTTCAGTTAGAAGGTCACACACAGCTTCAATTACAAGCTAGAAGCTCAGCACAGTTCATGCACAGTTATAAGGTCTGAAGAGAATCATGAGAAATCATACAGGAGAGAAGCCAGTCAGCTGAGTTTGGGGCAAAACCCTTTAGAGTGCTTATATCGTTCTGTCTTTTACTACATATGATAATTCATACTCAGAAAGTAGAACTTAAATGACATTCATTACAAGATGATTAGTTAAAACATTTCCACGCACCTGCATTGTTTTGCATTTTGTGACTTGCAGCCGAATAAAAGACTATTTTTCCACTAATTTTTGTCATTGAAGTTTTCTTAAAAATAGTGTTAAAATATCGTCTCATTCTCGTGAACCCAATATTGTGTATTGTCTCGTCTCATGAGCTGAGTGTATTGTCACATCCCTACTCACCACACAAAATGGGATACATTATTTAAGTCAGATTTTGTGTATCTGTGAGACAACCTGAACATCTGTAAATGCCGTCTCTTCTGTCCCTGTGTTCTGCTAGGTGTTAAAGTCTGTTAATAGCGCTTCTGTTTCACAGGAGCTACCTGGCTCTACTGTGTACACTAGGTTTGGTTTGTGTGACTTCTTTGTGTCAAAATAGTTAAGTTTATTTAATGTTTTTTGAACATCTGCATCCTGTAGGTCGGCAAATGTATTTATCACTATGCTGCTGTGAACAGGGCACACAGGAATTTGAGCTTGGAGTGGTTGTTAGTGGCCATGCTTGTTTGAGAACTGGATCATGGACCTGTTGTAGTCTTCAATTCATCTAGTGAAATTTATTGACAGCAGGCTGTGCCTTTTTCTAAGCCTTAGCTTTGACTGTATAGTCTCGGTCAGTTGGTGGAAAGAAATCCTGCTTTACGTCTACATATTGATTAAGATCCTGTAGATTGGGGCATCGTGTGGCGTAGTGGTCTAAGCATGTCCTCGCTATAGTCCTCGCTGCATTTGGCCCCGGTTCGAGTCCCGCATCGGACGGCCTTTGCTGCATGTCATTCCCCCTCTCCTCCCCATTTCCTGTCTCTCTCTACTATCCTGTCCAATAAAGGCCCAAAAGCCCCAAAAAAATATATAAAAAAAAAAAAGATCCTGTAGATTGGCCCGCTGTAGCAGCAGTCTTGAATCTAGTCCTGCTTTCCTAATAAGACAACGTAAAAATTCCAACGTTACTGTAACATTAACTGTTTCCATGACGAACAGTGAAGGGGATCTTTAAAGTTTAGAAACAAATCTTTACATTAACTTCCAAATATCAAAATGGTGACATCTCTGTATTTTATTACAAAAGAAATTACTGTACATAAGCAACACTAACACCACTGTTACTGAAACATAACGTCTTTAATACATCACATCACTTTGGTTTGACTGAACAACCTCTTCAGGTGTTTAGAGATTTCTTTCATTTTTAGACCATATATAATTGGATTGAAGAGAGGATGATACAGAATCACTTGTAAAGTCATTATTAAACGTGCAGTTTTTGGAAATTTAGACCCCAGTCGAACTATAATGACATCATACGCACACAAACAGGAGAAACTGATTAAAACCAGCAGGTGAGGTAAACAGGTCTGTGCAGCTTTTTTCCTGACAGTTTTACAGCTTCTATAGGAGATTATAAGTATCCTGGTGTATGTGAAGAGTATGAAGAGCAGAGGGAAAAGTGCAGTGACTATCACGGCAAAAACACCAAATATAGATCGTGTTCTTGAACTCACACAGTGGAGATTGTAAATTGAATTATTACAAAAGATTCCATTCAACGTTAAATTACAGAGTTTCAAATCAGCACTCATTATTACTAGAACTGAAATATGACAAGCAGGTACAAGCCAAGCTAAACCCAGAAAAATACTCACAGTGGTTTTCCTCATGATAGTTGGATATTGCAGAGGTTTACATATAGACACATACCTGTCATAGGCCATGGCTGACAACAGTAAGAACTCTGAACTTCCTAAAGAATAAAATAAAAAAAACTGAAAGAGACAAGCTGAATAGGATATGATCTGTTTTTCAGACAAAAAGTCAATTAACAACTTTGGGTAGATATTAGTGCTGAAAAGAACTGAGTTGATTAACAAAGCTGCAATGAAAATGTACATAGGCTCATGAAGGTTTTTGTGAATCCAAATAAGATACACAATGGTGAAATTACAGCAAATTATTAGAATATAAACTGTAAACATGATCAAAAAATAAAGATATCTGTATTTTTGCACCTCCACATGCCCAGTAAGAGTTATATATGTTACATTAAGTTCATCCTCCATTAATCCTGTCTAATAATAATAAATGTCAAGTAAGAGAACAGACAGATTAATTAATCAGCATACACGAGTGTTAATTAAAAAGAGCTCTGACTTTCACCATATCACAAACATCCAACTTGCACTGAAGTGTCTTATTCATTCACAGATACCTGATCTTAAAATGCACTTAGAGAATGTTCATCTCTAAAATTCAGCAAGTGAACTGTTTCAGTTTGTGGAAAGTTTTTATAATATTGCTTCAGCCTCCATGGATCTCATTAAAGTCTCCACTAAAAGAGATTCTAATGTGTAAAGAACTGAATCAAACCCTGGAGGCATGAAGTTTCATCACTGTTGACTTCTTTAACTTGGACATGTGCATCATTATACAGCATTACTCTATTCAACGTTAAAGTTCATCAATATGGAAATAAAGTTGATATTTTTCCAAGTGCTTTCATGTATGTTTGTTTGTTTGTTTTTTTGTTTGTTTGTTTTAACAGATGCCCATGGAAATAATTACTTCTGTCAATTGAACCACAGACCTTAATGAACAACATTAAAAAGTATGTCCATAAGTGTCCTTCAGGTGAATCTCTGCCTTCTTAGATGAAATTCAATATTGTGGTCCAAGTGCATACAGAGCTACCACTCTTATCAGGAATAATGGTGTTTAAACATGTATATTTGGGATACACCGATCAAACAGTTTCACTCAATTTGATTCTGATTTCTGCCAAAACCGAATGCCTGAATGGGAGGCAGAGGAATTGGTATCTGCCAAACACTGTGGTGTGCAGGGATTACTTGTGTCAGTTCGTAGTACTGGGCTCCAACCACTTTTGGAGTAACATCTTCCAAGGTGGTAAGCGGGTAGTGTGGCATTTTATTTGCCTTGTGTAGATCTCTGAACAAACATAGTCTGGTACATAGATTTCTGCTGATGCAGCCGATTATAGGGTCAGAATTTGTCAATGGCATGACCTGCCTTGAGTCAACAGTCCAGGCTGCTGGTAGTGGTGGTGGTTTAATGGTGTAGGGAAAGTTTTCTTGGCACACTCTGGACCCTTAATACCTATCAATCATGGTTTCAATGTCACAACCTATATGACTAACATTTTGTATCTCTAGCCGCTCAAGGTATGATTGCTGCCCCGGATGGTCAACGGACATGTCCATTTTATCTCTGTGACCTTCATTGTTAAAGAACAATTGCTATCATCGCTAGTAACCAGAGGCGTCACGAAAACAAAGAAATCTTAGTATTGATATTTATAAATCATGTTCTGAGGAGTATAACTTTAAGTAATCACAGAAGAATGTAAAGAGACTAATGCCACCTATAGCTAGAGTTTGATGATGAAACTGATGATGGCAGCTCTTGATTGAGGAGCTAATGAGATCCATGGAGGGTGGGCAAATCTCATAAAATCTTTCCGCTGACGCACTCAATGCACTTTCTCACATATGGAGATCAAAGTGCATTTCATTGTCAGATATCTGTAAATGAATAAGGTGCATTCTGTGTATATGAAATTCCTCATAAGAGACTTTTATTCTTAGTTTTTATGTCTGTTGTATTGATTAATGTCTAATTCTAATTTTTAATGGATGATGAATTTAATGTAACATATATAACTCTTGGTGGGTACGTGGAAGTGAACAAATACAGATATCTTTATTTTGTGATCATGTTTACAGTTTATATTCTAATAATCTGCAGTAATTCTACTATTGTGAGTCTTATCTGGATTCACAAAAACCTCCATGAGCCTATGTACATTTTCATCGCAGCTTTGTCACTAAACTCTGTTCTTTTCAGCACTACTATCTACCCAAAGCTTTTCATTGACTTTTTATCTGAAAAACAGATCATATCTTATTCATCTTGTCTTTTTCAATATTTTATATATTACTCTCTGGTTGGTTCAGAGTTCTTACTGTTAGCAACAATGGCCTATGACAGGTATGTGTCTATATGTAAACCTCTGCAATATCCAACTATCATGAGAAGAACAACCATAAGTATTTTACTGCTTTCAGCTTGGCTTATACCTGCTTTACACGTTGTGGTGGCTGTTGCACTGGGTCATGAGAAAAAGCTCTGTAACTTCACTTTGAAAGGAATTTTTTGTAACAATTCAGTCTTGAAACTTCACTGTGTGAGTTCAAGAGTGATATCAATATATGGTTTGGTTGTTTTGCTAAATGTTGCACTTGTTCCTGTGCTTTTCATTCTCTTCACATACACAAAGATACTTATAATATTATATCGAAGCAGTAGAGAAGTCAGGAAAAAAGCTGCACAGACTTGTTTACCTCATCTGTTGGTTTTAATCAGCTTCTCCTGTTTGTGTGCATATGATATCATTATCGCTCGACTGGAATCTGATTTTCCAAAAACTGTACGTTTAATAATGACTTTGCAAGTGGTTTTGTATCAACCTCTCTTTAATCCAATTATATATGGACTGAAAATGAAAGAAATTTCCAAACACCTCAAGAGGCTGTTCTGTCAAGTCAAACAAGGCTAAATAATGTTCATTCACTCTGTAATAATCATGCAGAAATGTGATTTCTCTGATCCTTGGAAGTCATTTAATATAATAACTGCTCTATATTTCTAATACTCGAAAGGACTATCAACAGCTTAAACAGTGTAATGATTAATGATTAATTTGCTGCTCTCTATAACTATTCATCCCATACATTGTTAGAGGAAACCTGTTCCCAGTAATCACATTCATAGTGACTGTGGTATAATTATGTTTCAGTGTAATGAGCAAGTGCAGATGTTAGTATTTTAAACAGAAAAAATATCAGCAATATATGTTTTGCAATATGTGTAATTTCAAATTGTTTATGTAACAATAACAGTTTGTGTGTTTGTGTTTGCTTTTGTGTTTCTGTTTATGAACCAAGTCTTGGGAGAGCTGTAACTTTTACTATTTCATAATAATTTACTCTTCAACTTTCTGTGAGAAAAATATAAATAAAAACTTAAAATTAACTAAACCATATTGTTCTTGCTGTAAAATAAGGATCTCATCATTCATGTCCAGTTAACCGCCATTAGCTCATCTGCTATGTGTCTGCGGCGCATATACAAGAGGGAACAGGATAACCAACCCTCTGAGCAAACTAAGCTAAGCAGAGTGGATGGCAGTCCTGCAACCTAAATGACCATATGCTGTATTTAGGCCACAGTTTATTGGACTGTGGAGGCTCATGACAGCTAATGTAGCAGCTATCATCTACATTATTTTTTGACTGAGAATAATCATTTCTGCATGTTGTAATAATCACATCCTATAAAAACAAAAATTAGCCCTGTTTTAAGTGCCCTCAAGTGCACCTTGTTCATGCTGAGATAGTTTTCATATTCATTTAGGATGGAAGGCCAGAGGTGCATATGAGGTGCATTTGGAAACAGGGTGGGATTAGGAATTATCCATTATCGTACACTATAGACGGACATGTTAGGGGCTGGTGATAGTTGTGGCCACTCACATTTCCTCCTTCCATCCCTTTTAAAAGCAGTGCTTCCCCCTCTTCCATACAATTATGTTTGGTAAGTGAGTTATGGTCAGAAAACTCTGTCTACATGGGAACCACATTACAACGTACCAACAGCATACCCCCTAATGGTAGGCCCATACCGTGCTGCTTTCTCACTGCGGCACATCGCTCACTATACATCAGGGAAATGCATGCACTGTTATCATGTAGTGGTGTAGCTAATGCTAACTAGCCAGCCGTCTGCAGATGACGAGAAACACAAAAAGCAGGACATGCAGACTTTACATGCAGATCTGTGCTGAAACTAATTATTTAAACAAGGATTTCTATGGTGTATTGAAGCATCAGGTATTTATTTATAGGTAATTATTCTTGTTCTACTGTCTTTAACATGAAGTGTTAAAATTTATGATGTTTTCTGCCACATTGCTCAGTGGGACTGTCCTCTTATAAAAAAGTTGTCTGTTAGCTTATTTCGAACCATGGTTACTTTTTATTGTTAGGCGACCTCTAGTGGCTGTAGTAATTATGACTGGGGCAGAGGAGGAAGTCGGGTGAGGTAGTATGTGCAATTGGGGCTACTACTGGGGCCACAACTGTAATGACTACTGGTGCCACAACTGGGGCCACAACTGGGGCCACAACTGGGGCCACAACTGGGGATACAACTGGGGCTTCTACTGGGGATAATTATTTTACAGCAAGAACAAAGTGATTTAGTTAATTTCCATTTTTTATTCATTATTTATTTTTCTCACAGAAAGTTTCAGAGTAAATTATTATAAAATGGTAAAAATTACAGCACTTCCAAGTCTTGGTTCGTAAATAGAAACAGATACAGACACACAAACTCTTATTGTTTCTTAAACAATTTGAAATTGCACACACATATTGCAAAATGACAATGTTAGTAGCCTATGACAAAAAAAAAGAAAAATGCAATTATGAAACACAGCTATTTTCTCCTGTTTAAGGCTGTAAAGACCTACAGTTACTGATCAGAATTACTGCACTGTCTCCTTATAGTGGTTTACAGCAAACTGCTCAGAGTATGACATTAAACTATAGAGTGTTATCTTGATTGTTAACACCAAGGAGGATCAGAAGCAAAATTTTCCTTCATTCTTTATGGCAGACCAAGTGCTAAATGTAGTGAATAAAACAAGGTACTTAGTTCACATCATCAGGGATGTTCTGTGTGATGATGATGATGTGCAGCGCCATTGTTGTAATGCAAAAGCCAACATGCAGGCACGCAAACTTCATATGTGTACAGATGATGTGAAAACAGCCCTTTTTAGTGCCTACTGAAGTAGTAATGTTCCCACCTTTCATGTTGTGCTGAGGAATTTTATGTATAGATCTGTATGTGTCAATTAATTGCATCAAATGTGATAATTAAGGTCTTAACTGAGCCCACACTAAGTGACACAAGGTACTCCTCTTGTTTCTGGAAACATTGGATTAAATGCCTGTATGTGCTGTAATTATTGTGGATTTATAGATTATTTTTTAAGTAATTACTTAATAACTTCTTACTTAACTTACTGATATGGCCCCATGTATCTGAAATAAAGTTACTAATAATACTATCCCTACTCCTACTACTATCTCTACTATTACTACATTATGTATTGCTTAAATTTTCTTTAATTAATATCGACAATCCTTGAGAACTTTATCATTACACTGAAACATAATGATACCTGGGAAGTGTTACTGGGAACAGGCTTCCTCTAACCCTGTAGGGATGAATAGTTATAGAGAGCAGCAAGTTAATCATTACACTGTTAAAGCTGCTGATATTCCTTACTGTGTATTAGTAATATAGACATTATATTAAATGACTTCCAAGGATCAGAGAAATCACATTTCTGCATGATTATTACAGAGTGAATGAACATTATTTAGCCTTGTTTGAATTGACAGAAAAAACTCTTGAGGTGTTTGGAAATTTCTTTCATTTTTAGACCATATATAATTGGATTAAAGAGAGGTTGATACAAAACCACTTGTAAAGTCATTATTAAATGTGCAGTTTTTGGAAAATCAGATTCCAGTCGAACTATCATTATATCATATGCACACAAACAGGAGAAGCTGATTAAAACCAACAGATGAGGTAAACAAGTCTGTGCAGCTTTTTTCCTGACTTCTCTACTGCTTCGATATAATATTATAAGTATCTTTGTGTATGTGAAGAGAATGAAAAGCACAGGAACAAGTGCAACATTTAGCAAAACAACCAAACCATATACTGATATCACTCTTGCACTCACACAGTGAAATTTTAAGACTGAATTGTTACAAAAAATTCCATTCAAACTGAAGTTACAGGGTTTTTTCTCACGACCCAATAAAACAGGCACCACAACATGTAAAGCAGGTATAAGCCAAGCTAAAAGCAGTAAAATACTGATATTTGTTCTTCTCATGATAGTTGGATATTGCAGAGGTTTACATATAGACACATACCTGTCATAGGACATGGCTGTTAACAGTAAGAACTCTGAACCACCTAAAGAGTAATATATGAAATACTGAAAAAGACAAGCTGAATAAGATATGATCTGTTTTTCAGATAAAAAGTCAATGAAAAGCTTTGGGTAGATAGTAGTGCTGAGAAGAAGAGAGTTCAGTGACAAAGCTGCGATGAAAATGTACATAGGCTCATGGAGGTTTTGGTGAATTACAATAAAACACACAATAGTGGAATTACTGCAGATTATTAGAATATAAACTGTAAACATGAGTAAAAAATAAACATATCTGTATTTGTTCAAATCTACAAAGCCACCAAGCATAATATACGTTATATTTAATTCATTATCCATTTAAGATTCTCCAGAATTAAGAAATTATCGATAAAATAGACAGAATGTGTAACAAGCATGCATGAATAAAATTGAAGAGATGAAGTCTCACTTTGACTTCATTTAATTATAACCTATGTTAAATTGTCCTGTTCATTTACAGATACCTGAGCTTGAAACTGCCTTGAGTGACTGTTCCTCTCCATAATTCAGAAAGTGAACTGTTGTGTGAGGAAGATTTTTTATGATATGTATTAGTCCTCCAAGGATCTCATTAAATTCTTCATGAACAACTTCATCAGCTCTCATCAGGCCTGAAATTATGAGACAATCCATGTGTACTGTTTTTTCAACCAATTTTACAACCCATTATACTAGAACTAGGGGTGGGCGATATGGCAAAAATATCATATCACGATTTTTTTTTTAAAATAAAATCACGATTTCGATTTTATCACGATCTTAAATTGAAAAACTGACAATTTAAACCAAAGAACCTTTCTTAACAGATTTTATTTCAAATAGTCGCAGTTTCGCCTGCATGTGCAAACAACATTCACTCGTTCTTGCGAAAAACTGGACCTTCTGAACTTTGCGTTCAATTTTTTCTCGGCATTCAGAGTAGAGACGTGGCATGGCAGTGTTGGAAAAGTATTTACGGCTGGGCAGCTCGTACCGCGGGTCAGCTACTTTAAGCAGGCGTTTGAACCCCTCATTTTCTACCGTCTTGAACGGTACCATATCCTTTGCGAGATAAAAGGTAACAGCTTCTGTTACCTCTTTCCATCGCTTGCTTGACTTGTCATATGGAGTGCCTTTGTCAAATGCCTGTGTTAATGTTGTCTGTTTTGGTCTTACGCTAGCTGCTGCCTCCGCCTGCAGTGCTGCCGGGCCCCTCGCTGTTTGGCTCTCAGCATACTGCTTGGGGTGCTTCCTCTTCAGGTGATTAAACAGGTTCGTCGTGTTACCACCCGACGTGCAAACGGTTTCTGTGCAAACTTTGCAAATTACATTTGCTTGCGCTTGATCAGTTGCGGAAAATCCAAACCAATTCCATATAATGGAGGTGGAATTTTTTTTAGCGACCAACTCCGTTTGGCTTTCAGCCATCGCTCTCCATGTGCTACCGCTACACACACAAACAAGGAGGTGGGTAGGAAAGTGCGTCACTGCCCGTAATTCGCTATGATTGGTCGGTCAAGTTGACCACGTCAATACGTCTGGTGCGTCGGTGCATCAGCATAGAACTGCAATTTATAGAATGTGCCCTAGACGATCCCACGATCTCTGCAGTTTGAAAGATCATCTTCACATTGTAATCCTTCATGATCTAATATCGTCATATCGCCCACCCCTAACTAGAACGTTACTTCATTGTCATGAAATGCAATTCCAACTGACATAGAGGGTTGATTAATATTTTATATTCTTCTTATTACCCCTATGCTTCATGTCTGCTTTCACAGAAAGATCCTTTTCGCGCCTACGTCATGATTACGTCACAGTGTTAGCTGGAGGCAAAACAAAACTGGTGGCAAATACAGCTAAATGACCTGGCAAAAATGTCGTCCTATTGTGTCATTGGGTGCCAAAATTGAAGGCGTAATGGCTCAAACGTGAAGTTTTATCGCATACCAGCTGCCACTGTCAGATAAAAACTTTGGTTGAACGCAATAAGACGAAAAGATTGGTCTGAGACGATCATCAAAAATGCTCGCATTTGCAGCGCATACTTCATATCAAGTAAGATTAACGTTAAAGTATTATCTGTTTTAGCCTAGGTAAAGTTATGGGTTACGCTAACTTGTGTGTGTCTAAAAGCTTTGTCATGCCCACCTAATGTTAATGTTAATCAGAATTTGGGGGACTGAAGATTTTTTCATACGCTAACATTAGTTGTATCTTTCAGGTGTGCTCAAGAAGTTTCATTAGCTAACATTAGCTGAGGCTATGGTCCCACAAGATGTGTACAACAATCTCAGTCAAAAGTATGACCAACTCAGTGCCGAGTATGGCAACTTGAGAAAAGACTATTACACCCTCAAAGAGGAGAATGCAAGATTGAAAGAGGAACTTCAGAAATCACGCTTCTCATTCTCCAGTCAAAAACAATGCTTTACACTTTCTATTTCTCACTTCATTCATCTTCAGTTGGTTAATGACAAAACTTGAAGATAGTGTGCAGAAGTGTACTGCAAGTCTAATGCTGGAAGATCATTTAATAGTGGTCCTTATGAAACTGAGTTTGGGGCTCAGAGATAACAGAGATATAGTGTATAGATTCAAAGTTAGCGAGAGCACAACATCAAACATTCTAAGATCCCGGGTGCCTGTAATGGCAAACGTACAGAAATCTCTTATTAAGTGGCCAAGTAAAGGTGCCGTCCTGCAGAATATGCCAAAGTGTTTCAGGAGACACTGTAGTAGTTACTTCTAGTAGCAGTAATTGTAGGTGTAGGTGTATTGCAGTATTAGCTGCAGTAGTGGTAAAGTTAGCAGTCATAGTAGCAGCAGTAGTAACGTTAACGTCACTTGCTAATCTCAGCTAACATGATAGCATAGTTAACTCTCAAACATAAAACTTTCAAATATGAGATGTGGGTTACTTACCCAGCCACGCAAGTGCAGTTTGCTGTGAAGATGTAGCTATTTCTTTCTGTTTACAATAACGAATGCCTGGTACATGGCTGTCTTCTGACCTTGCCGTTGACTTTGTAGAACTTTGGATCGCACGAACCAAAACTCGTCGGTTGAATTTGTATATTTCATGTCTTGTACACGGCCACTCAGGACATAGTTATAGGCATCTAAAGATTTATACCCCTTGAGTTTCTCTTTAGTGTACACACTTGGTTTCTCTATCAGGTATGTGTAAATGTCCGGGCATTGTACAGTAGGTAATCCTGTCAGATCGTCCATCCATTGAGTGAGTGTGTAGGGGTCAGCAAATCTAGTCCCATCAGTTAAAGTCAACTTTATAAAGTAACACTCACGGTCTCGGGGAGTGAGTGAACTTACATAATCAGAAAAGTACGTGATTCCTTCGGGCATTGTGAAATAAACAGTCCATCAAAACTTGCTAACCAGCATTAGCTAACCGTCTAATTTTCTTCATGGCCAAATGACATAATGCACCTTTGTTTAATGCTGGATTTAGTTAAAATGGACAATAAATGTTTTACTTCACTACATTTTTAAATAGGGGTAAGGGACACGTTATATGTTGATAACAATAAAATATGATAAAACCATTAAATTAAAACATCTTTAGGCTGAAAGGCGTATATGCATTAGTATCTTAATGCATATACACCAACAAAGGCGACCAATTAATTCCAATCAGGCACTTTGCAGCCTGTGCATAGAACTGATAATATACACAGTTGCCGGCGATTTGATTATGAATATAAAACTTTTTTTTTTCCAAAGTTTTCATAAAAGGTGTTAAAATGTTTGCAGCTCCACACCATTGAAGCGGTAGTGAAGTCTGATTGTCTGTCCATGTTGCCATTCTTTATATTCCTTTAGTCTGTAAGGGTCCACAGATCAATAAAAATCAATATATTTCTAGACGTATTCCAAGTTGTGAGTATTGTCATATGAAGTCCATTGTAGACCATCAAGTGACTTTCTACACATCACTCCTCTCCGCATTTCAAGCCTATTTCTCTCCTTCCGACTAACTGACAGTGGGTTTGCTCATTTTTGCTGCCTACACATTGAAATCTCCCTGCAAAGTTTCCTTCACATTTCATTCCAGGAGTGTCAGGTAAATACAGCAAGCACACCTAAGCGAAAAACCTGATGAAAAGAGCACTGAAAAATATAGAAAATTCTGGCCTTTTGGCGACAGAAGATGTGGGGTCTTGAAATGTAATATTATTACTGCCATGTTTAAGGGCCTCTATCCAGCTTTGGGCCCTCTGACATATCGAGGACCCAACCGTTCCATGCTCCTGTGCACTGGCCTCCACAGTTTGATGAAGTTGTTTGTATGCTAATAGCTTCTGGTTTAGAGTGGATGGATAAAATCCATGGAGGGTGATGCAGTCAGATAAAAACAATCCACAGAGCTGGACAGTTCGCTGTCTGAACTCTGAGAGAGTGAAGACACACTAAGTGCAGGTAGCTGTAAATTAAACTATCCCAAACAGGTTGTATGTAATCATCAAATACTTGTTTCTTAACCATTTTTATTCATGTAAGCCTACTTCATAACCTGCCTATTTATTTATACATTTATTGTATGACAATCATAATGGATGATGGATTCAATGCAACATTTTTAACCCTTGATGGCTATGTAGAATTGCACAAATACAGGTATCTTTATTTTGTGTCGATGTGTGCAGTTTATATTCTAATAATTTGCAGTAATTCAACCATCATATTCCTCATCTGGATTCACCAAAACCTCCATGAGCCTATGTACATTTTCATTGCTGCTTTATTACTGAACTCTGTTCTTTACAGCACTAATATCTACCCAAAGCTTTTCATTGACTTTTTATCTGATCAACAGATTGTATCTTACTCAGCCTGTCTCTTTCAGTGCTTTCTATATTACTCTTTAAATGGTGCAGAGTTTTTACTGTTGGCAGCCATGGCCTATGACAGGTACGTGTCAATATGTAAACCTCTGCAATATCCAACTATCATGAGAAAAACCACTGTGAGTATTTTTCTGGGTTTAGCTTGGCTTGTTCCTGCTTGTCATATCACACTGCCAATTGCACTGAGTGCTAATACCAAACTCTGTAACTTTACTCTGAAAGGAATCTTTTGTAACAATTCAATTTACAAACTTCACTGTGTGAGTTCAAGAGCACTATCTGTGTACGGTGTGATTGTTTTGTTAAATGTTACAATATTCCCTGTTATTTTCATATGTTTTACATACACAAAGATATTCATAATAACCTACCAAAGTTGTGGTGAAGTCAGGAAAAAAGCTGCACAGACCTGTTTACCTCACCTGCTGGTTTTGATAAACTTCTCCTTTTTAGTTACGTATGATGTCACGGTGGTTAAACTGGAATCGGATTTTCCAAAAACTGTCCATTTAATAATGACGTTACAAGTGATTCTGTATCATCCACTATTTAATCCAATCATATATGGACTAAAAATGAAAGAAATCTCTATACACATCAAGAGGTTGTTCTGTCAAGACAAACTGAATTAATATATCAACAAAGATAATTATTGTTCAGTCTTTTCTTCTGTAATAATCCTGCAGAAATGAGATGTCTGTGATTTTTGAAAAGGTATTCAATCCAAAAAATGTTTGTGACTGCTACACAGTAAAACTTATCATCAGCCTCAATGTTGTAAAAATTATTAATTGATTATTTTGCAGCAGTTATTTAACAATCCAGCACAACAGTTTGATTGAAGTAAATTACATTTATTTTGTCAAAATAAAACCCTGTAATCAGAAATGTCATTCATACACAGAGACTTGTGTATTGAAGAAGTGTGCACTGTGTATGAAGATGTCAACATTTTATATTCACCACCTTGAAGATCACCTTGAAGATCTGTTTTGTTGTTTATTGCTAATTTGCCAGTTTTTAATTGGATGTGTTTTTCAGTTTATCATGGATTATTATTATTATTATTATTATTATTATTATTATTACAGACTAAAAACTCTTTCAGAGATGCACCTTGTTACTTTGAAGTGAAGTCAGTTTTCTCATATTATTAAGCAGTCAAGGCACTTTCACACAGTCTCACAATGGTGGATTATGACCTACTATGTCATAATTGTGAAAAAACTAGCAGCAAACAAGTAACCCATAGACGTAAAACGCTTCAGAACTTGCCTGACAATCATCAGGTTTTAAAGTTTTCTTCAGTTTCACAGTAGCCCATAGGTACACTGCAAACAGGAAGTGATAATGACTAATTCACATTCTTAATTTTCCAGAATGTAAGCAAATATAGGTTTAGGAACAATGTGGCTAAAGTTGGACCCACAGTGTGACTCACTGAAGCCATGGCAACATTACACTTCCTGTTTGTCATAAAACTTCACATCTGTTCACACGAATAAAGACTTTAAACATTTAACTTTTCCATTTATGCTGTTGTCATTTTGTCATGACTGAAACCTGCCAAGGACTGTAGCTTGTACCAATTCAGGGGGTGCATCCTGCGGAGGACACAGTCTACGAAGGTGTGGCCCTTCGTAGACATCGTGGACCACGAAGGCCAAACCAAAATGAGAGGTCCACAGAGAACTTGTGGTGTGTCAGCAGCTGTGCCCTCCCTCACTGTTGCATCTCAATGCGCCTTGACAACATGCAAATTTTTTTTCACAAAAACTACAGGTTTTAAGGGCCTTGGTTTTAAAAGTTGTACCGATAGCTGTTGAACTGAGCTGAAACCCAATGCTTACATTTGAAGGTATAATCCTCAGGCTCTCTGTCAGTGTTCGCTTTCATTACCAGCGTGCAATGAATTTTGGGGTAAGTTGGGCCTCAAATGATCCACCCATTGGATCCTTTGTTGCCCAGGAAAAGAAGGACACATTTGAAAGAGCCTTCGAAACGGGCAGCCTAATACACTAATAGAGTCGCTTGCAAGGCTATACACCAAGTAGCAACCTCTGAGGCTGAGAAATTAAACCAACAACAATTAACAGTTTGTTCAGTCCGGACAGAAACTGTAAAATACGTTTTTTAAGAGGAACAACCCGCTTCACGCGTCTCCTGGCAAGCTGGCGCACATTGTGCAGAAAGTAACAACATTTTTAGTCCATTTCTTTAGCAGTGACAACTTTAATACAGTGACAATTCAGTTAAATTATCACATAAAAATATGACAGGCCCAGTCAATGAGGTGTACAACACTTATGGGTTCAGGCCTCTAGAGTATGATGAAGTTGTTCAGCTAATAGTAGGACTTGGAGGAGGTTTTAATGAGATCCATGGAGAGTGACGCAGAGTGATTAAAATAATCCACAGACTCAAACTGTTCACTTTCTGCTTGGATATCTGTACTTACTGGAATATTTCATCAAGCACACAAGTTCATGTGAAGGTCAGGTACAGGTATATAAAAGAAAATCTACTAAATACTATACTAAATGTACAATATGTGAGTGTAATTTTTTCTCTTAATAATTTGTTTAGACAAGCTTAATGGATAGTAAATTCAATGTAACATATATAACTCTTGATGGGTATGTGGAAATGAACAAATATAAATATCTATATTTTATGATCATGTTTACATCTTATATTCTAATAATCTGCTGTAATTCCACCATCGTGTGTCTCATCTGGATTCACCAAAACCTCCATGAGCCTATGTACATTTTCATTGCAGCTTTATTAATCAACTCTGTTCTTTACAGCACTGCAATATACCCAAAACTTTTGATTGACTTTTTATCTGAAAAACAGATCATAACTTACTCAGCTTGTCTCTTTCAGTGGTATATATATTACTCTTTGGCCGGTTCAGAGTTCTTACTGCTGTCAGCCATGGCCTATGACAGGTATGTGTCTATATGTAAACCTCTGCAATATCCAACTATCATGAGAATAAAAACTATTAATATTTTATTGCTTTTAGCCTGGCTTCTGCCTGCTTGTCAGGTTGCAGTACCGACTGTTCTGAATGCTAATAAAAAACTGTGTAACTTTACTTTGAAAGGAATAGTTTGTAACAGCACAGTCTATAAACTTCACTGTGTGAGTTCACCTGTGCTTAATATATACGGTTTGGTTATTTTTGTGAAAGCTGTGCTTTTCCCCGTGCTCTTCATACTCTTTACATACAGCAGAATATTTATAATATCTTATCAGAGCTCTAGGGAAGTCAGGAAAAAAGCTGCACAGACCTGTTTACCTCACTTGATGGTTCTACTAAACTTTTCCTGTTTGAGTGCATATGATGTACTTCTACTGCGAATGGAAACTAATTTTCCAAAAACTGTTCGCTTCATAATGACATTGCAATTAGTAATTTATCATCCTCTCTTTAATCCGATCATATATGGACTGAAAATGAAAGAAATTTATAAACACCTCAAGAGGTTATTCTGCAAAATGGTGTAATTTATTGGCTCTGATAACTGTTTTTAAATGTATTTCAAAAATCCTGAAGGTTTCAACACTCTAGTAACATGAAATAAAAAACTTTATTTTGAGCTCATTGCTTTTCTGCTGGTGGTCTTCATCAAGGTGACTTTGCCAGTGCAACAGAAAATCTGTATGCTATTTTCTATTCTACTCCAGTTTGTTTTTGATTCACAGTAGAAAAGTACTGTAGAGCCCGGTGTGCCACTAATGTCTTCCATACTGGCAACATCGTTTCTTGGTGTATCGTTTATGTTTATAATTAATGTTCACATTTGATTGATTTGGTAGACTATGTGAAATTTGGTGCCCTGCGAGAGTCTAACATTCTTGAATAAAAATGACTTAAAGCATTGTTGCTGTGAAATAATTATAATCACTGTAATAATGACAGTAATGATTAGAGCCAAACAAGCTGAGATATCACAAGAACCAACCATAAACTACAAACTGGTATAAACTGATGCCAAACATACACATATTACATTTATTGATTCAGCACACATTTCAATCCAAAGCTCCGTATTAATCATAGCCAATGTTAATCATGGTAAAAATACTAATAACAGTAACAGTAAGAAAGTATCTAATGATCTGCAGCTTTTCATTGACTTTTTATCTGAAGAACAGATCATATCTTATCAAGTCTGTGTTTTTCAGGGCAGTTAAGAGTTTTTACTGTTGTCAGCCATGGCCTATGCCAGGTATGTGTCTATATGTAAACCTCTGCAATATCCAATATCTAATTGTGCTGAGTCCTGATAGGAAACTTTACTTTAAAAGAATAATTTGTGATAACACTGTTTACAAAATTCAAAATTTTGTATGAAGAGGATCCTGAGTACCAGTAGTTGTTATTATTACAGGCTAGAATGTGACAAATAAACATATGTAACACAAAATAATTCTCAATAAATAATAGCACGGTGCCTCCATTGTCGGACAATGTCACTCGTACACTGTGAATATTTTCATTTCCCCAGAAACAAAGGTAGGCATCTTTAATGTCAGTAAACCTTAGGAAAACATTCAGGACAACCTTGTGATAATGTATAACAAAGATATATTTATTTTCTTATTCTAGTTTCTCTGTTGTAGTCTTTGTTTTCAAAATGTTTTCTGTTCACTAGTTCACATTCTCTCAAATTGTAATATTATTTCAAAACAAAACTCTTTTTCTGTTGCTTCACAATATTAAGCAAACTCAAAATAAATACCAGAGCAATTAAACAAAAATAACAAATCAAATTTCGGGGGGAAGTAACCTTTAAACTTAAGATGCCCTTTTAAAAAAGAATTAATAAACAAAATACTTAGATTAAACACACTGACAAAAATGAACACTTTCCTTGTTTTAAGCAATAATCCAAAAACCTATATGTGTATGTTTATCAGTCTATATGTGTGTTGGTGAGAGTGTATTTGTGTGAATGAGCGTATTTATCAAAAAATTAAACAGATAACACAGTAAGCTGAATTATATTCACCGCAATAGAAAAGTCTCAGTCAAATTAGTTTGTGGTTGGACAGTTCCACCTTTACAACAGTTCAAATTATTACCAAGCGCTTGGATTTCTAACCGTTGGGGCCCACATATAAACAAATCCTTACATCCTTAACTGACACAAACAGTTACTCACCAGACCAGGATACGTGCAGTTCACGGGCCGGTAGATGATGCAGCAGCAGGTCCGGCGCACAGGTCCAGTGTCTCAGTCTGTCCTCACCAGCAGTAGAAACAGATGCTAGTTAACACGGGGCTCCAGCGACGTCCTCGTTTCCTGCAGTCCTCGGCGAAACGTACTGCCGGCGTTTACAGCTAACTGTCCCTCGCGACGGTGCTAGCTTAAACGTCCACGCTTTATAGTCGGAGTTACACTTTTTACAAAGTAGGTGAAAACAACAAACGCAATTAACCTGCCTGCACTTTAACTTCGACCTACCGACAGAAGAGTTACTGACTCTTGAGATACACACGACTTCTAACTGAAAGATAATACCGGTGGTGTTACCTGCGACACCGAAGCTCCGTGGACCGTGTAAAAAAAAAAAAAAATCTATTTTCAGTGAATCTTTGTATCGAGGCGTGATTCGT